CTGCACATGATCAAGGAAAGGCTCAAGCCAGACACATTTTTGGCACCAAATGGAGTCCATCCATGCAAGTTTCCAAAATGAAAGGCGACTTTTCCTTGATTGGGTGCATACTAAGCTGGTGGTCAAATTTAGAATCCGAAGGCTAGGAGTGGGGAGAGTGCACAAACAATACAGAGTATGTCAGAAGAGACTTTTTGAATCTTTTGTCTGTTCCTTCTGGCTCTAGACAAGTCACATTACTTCTCAGAGCCTTGATTCCTTCATGTCCAGGAAAGAGATGACACTTCCTCTGCCACTATCTCATAGCTACTTTGGGAAGGAAAGGAAATGTTATGAATGAAAGCACTTTGCTAGGGTCCCCCAGCCTGTGCATTGGACGTTGCAGAATCTTCCTGGGGACTGTTCAGAGGGCATCTTTAGGGCTTTAGTGCAATGGACATATGTCCCAGTGTACGGACACCATCATTTTTGGCAGTCTTTTTGAATGGTCCAAGGATCAAACGCCATTGATAATTCAGGGTTTTACGGCACCTGGGACCATAAGTATTATGTTTATTTAGGATACTGAATCATTTTATTCTACCTCTGAATTACTTATTGATTTTTATTGTTCCCAGTGCTAAAACAGAGGTTGGTATAAAGATGAGGCTTAAAACACATTAAAATAATTACTACAGAGCTGCTCATGGGCTGCTTAGGATGATGTAGTCCTTTGGAGACTGAGAAAGGATGGAAAGCTGTTTCTGGTTACCAGTGAAAGCAGGAAATTCTGTAACCTGTACCTGAGCTGTAAGCAATCCAAAGTCAGAGCTCAACCATGCCCAGCAAAGATAGGAAATTATGTGGGGGGCCTGGGGCTACCCATAAAGGGACCCAGATGACCCAGAAGAGGGAGGATGAAGGTTGAGGGTACAGTGGGTCAGGGATGCACATTCAGCTGATGCCCAAATTCTGAACCCGGAAGGCCAGTAGGATGGTAAAGTGGACACAAGGATAATGCATCCTAGGAGACAGCATAGTGAACCTGTCAACAAAGGTAGAAACTGAGCTGGGCACAGTGGCATGTGCCTATAATCCCAGCTACTTAGGAAGCTGAAGCTGGAAGATTACAAGTTCAAGCCCAGCCTGGACTCAGCAATTTATCAAGAACTTGTCTCAAAATAAAAAATTCAAAACAAGGGCTGGGGTTGCAGCTCAGTGCTTCCTGGTTTCAAGTCCCAGTAATCCCAACCCGAGCATTAGTGTCTCCTTCGTTCTGGCTGGTAGGAATTACCCTGGGCTTATTTATTTTGACAGCTTTATGTCCTGTCACAATCTCAGGATCCAGTGCTTGGGCTCAGTTACCACTTTGTGATAATGACCTGCTGTCTCTTCTTACAGGTCTAACCCTAGAATTCTGTTTCACCCAGTGGGTGTATGTGCACACAGGCACGCATGTGCATGCACACACAGACACACACACACACACACACACACCCATCAGGGTCCTAAAATGGTAAGCTCAGACCCTAACCTCAGGGATTTGGATCCTGGCTTTGGCTCTTGTCTGGTTGGAGTTCAGGAGAGACCAGGTCTAGGAGGAGGCAATAGAAAGAAACGCAGCCTAGAAGAGATGCCCAGGGAACAAAGCTCAGCTGGGCAGAGCATTAATGGACACAGGGAAGAAGAATCTGGACAAGACCGGTGGTGGGTGTGGCCAATACTTAGATCTAACGTGCTATGGTTTCAGAGATGAAAAGCAGGCTCGATGCCATACACGGGGATCTGTCCCCAGAGGCACAGTGAGGCCCACTCTTGACTGCAGACAGCTCAGGCCAGGCCTTCTCCGGGAACAGAGGCTGGAGGATGAACAAGTGTGAGCCACTAAGGTCGCTTCCAGTAACTGGCACGATTCTACCTGGAGCAGCTTGGATGAAGAGGCAAGTTAGGGTACTGTCAAGGTCTTAATGGTCCACAGGGTTTCCTTGCCTCCCTGATCAGGAAGCCCATGGTGGACTTGTCCAGTACTGAGCACCTGAGTGCTTACCAAACACCCCACTGGAGATTCTGGTGTCTCAAGGGGCTTAACACAATCACGCTTTTTTTCATACTATGATTAATTTTCTAGCACAGTTCCTGGCACATTCCAGATATTTGGTAAGTATTTGTCCATTCTGTTATTTGTTCATCCAGTTTTAAAGAATTTAACATAAATATTGTGCCTGCAGTGCTCCAGGCTATTTTAAGCACTTTCTAATTGTTGACTCATTTAATCTTCTTACAAACTTTAATAAGTAGGACAAGTAGGACCTTTCCTATAGGTGGGTGAGCAGGGGTAGAGAGGTTAATCTGCCTGAAGTCACTCAGCTATTAAGCGGTGGGAACAAGATCTGAACCCATGTACTAAGGTTCCTGAGTCCGCTTTTTTTTTATGTTGTCTCCCATGAAGGAGAAGTCAAGGGCAATAAATTCTTGGTGGGTGGCTCGTTGCTTCTGAACCTCATGCTCTTTTCCACCATGGTAGGGCCCCTCTGTTGAACTACCTTCTAAGTTGAATGATAACAATGGTTCTCTAGCTGTGAGTTATACCCGGGAAGCAGTGGAATTCCAAGGGAGCCGGCTGTGAGGGGCCCCAAGGGCTGGTAAATCAAAGAATTCAATTCTCTGATAATGCATTTTAGAGTTTTGGGCTTACAGATAAAAATCTCAAAGTATCTATCATACAGCTGCAGTTTGGTTAAATGTCTACAACAGCTTTCTTTGAGAAGTTCCAATCATTTCCTGTTGACAGCTTTCTCAATCCCTGCTTAGGATCTAAGACACTTTTTTCTCTTTCAGATGAGGTATCTGTATGCATGATGCCGTATCTGTGTACATGCATGTCAGAAGCACAGATTTGGGAATCTTTTAACCTGGTGTTAAGATCTGATGCTAGCGCTATAAGTTACACAGTTTTTTCCCCAACAGTCTTAGTTTCATAATGAATGAAATGGAACACAAAGTTTAATAAACTTTAAGTGGTCATACATCTCTTATTTATCTTGTGCCTCTTAGGTGATGGCTACCTGCATTAGGAAAGAATTTACCCAACAGTCAGGAAGGTGGGTGGGGTGCAATTCTGATTCCTAATGGGAGCTACAATGGACCCTCAAGTTACAACTAGCCTGACATACAAACAACTTGGGTTGATTAGGTTAATGGAAGATACATCTGCCTCTTGTTATCAGTAACATATACACAGGTAAACACCCAGATCTCAGCTGTACTGACTTACAACCAACTTGAGTTACAACCAGCCGCTGGGAATTGGTCAAGTTTGTAAGCCAGGGGCCCGCTGTAAATGGAAATGAAGGATTAGGCTGGGAACTGTCTTCCCTGTGACTGTATTCCACTACCCAATGAGTTTCTCACAGAAATGCACTCATAAAAATTAAATTTGCTGAATAAAATGTTACTTAAAAACAGGGCATTTTAAAATAAGCTCCACCCTCTGAAGATCTCTTAGCCTTTCAGAGGAACTCAGGCGATCCCATTTACATGTCTTTACATGGGTTCTCACCTGTAATAAATAAAGGAGTTGGGCTGGGATTGCCAAGCCCTCCTCAGTTTCTGAGGTTCAAACATTCCCCCTTTTTCCAGCACCTGTCAGCTTCTTCAAGGGAGCAATGAATCTGAAATTACATGGAAGGGTGGCTACTTCCTAGTTGTGCAAACCTGCCGAACCAGCCTTGGTTTTCCCACTTGTTCGACAGAGAACAGTAATGTCATCTCTAAGGGTGGGTGTGAGGGGCCTAGAAGTAACACACATGGAAGTGATTCTATCAGTGTCGCAATTCTAGCTGAGCCATGTGCGCAGATTCTAGGTTCATGTGACCTGACCACTGCACCCCAGAACAGCTCAACAGAGGGAATCCCCATGCTCCACCCCCACCTCTAGAGACAGCCCATGGGACACAACGCATTGCGCCTTCTTGGGGGGTCCCTGTAGTACCCTCTAAACGCCAGACACTTCACCTCCTGATTCCACCAGACACCTCGCCACTCCTGCTGGTCTTTCTCAAAGCCATCTGGAAGAGAAGCTACTGCCGGCCAGAAGCCAAATGCAGGTGGCAAAAGGAGCCCTGGGGGGAAGCCCTGGGGGGAAAGAAGCAGGTGCAGGAAAACTCGGAGCCAGCGACTGTGATTCTCTGATGCTGGGGCGGGCACTGCAGATGGCCATGCTTCAGGAGGGCCTTGAGGCATCTTAGGAATGCAGCTTCCTCCGGGAAGAGCCTTCTGGCTTGCTGGGGAGAAGTCAAGAACCCTGGAGGGTGTACAGGTAGACCACAAAGGCCCAGTCGCTCAGCAGAATCCCGCAGGACACCTCAGAGAGAACAGCAGTATTCTGGCTATGCCACACACACAGTGGGTCACTTCCTGGACTGCCTGTCCTTGGCCTTGGACCTAAACCCCTCACAGTGCCTCGGCCCTTCTCTTAATCCCTAACAGCAGAGTGCAAAGAAACCTCAGTTCTTCTTCTTTTTTTAATCAAAGAGCTTTGCCTGGACAGGCAACTTTCTTTGAAAGACATTCTCTCAAGTCAGAAAGAGTGGCCACTAAAAGCTTACTTTATAATAACTGAGGGACAGACAAATCTAGTAAGCAAGCCCTAATAAACAAAATAACTTGGAAGAATCCCTACTAACAAATTTATTTTTGAATGTACATTTTTAGTGTGCAAAATGAATCCCTGGGAATCAAAAATGAAGAGCAAACTGAAAACTCAAGAGGCTAAGCAGACTCAGCTTCAAAATGCATAAAGCAAACACTAAAAGAACTGTGAGAAAAATTATAAACACACTAATGTAGAGCGAGATTTCAACAGACCTGCTCAGTAAGTGACAGATCAAGCAGATAAAAATTATAAAAAATATAGAACAATTTGCAAACACCATTAACAAGCTTGATCCTATGCACGTAAGAAAGAAATACAGATGCCTTTAAAGCATACATAAAAGCAAATCATAACTGTGTAGCTGTTGGATGATATGGCCCAGAACTGAGATTGTGATCTAATATGGAAGTTAATTTTCACCAGGGAGCTGCAGGCCAGGGAGATTTATCTCAGCTCTGTGCTGGGTCATGCAGGATGGTATCAGAGAAGCAGCAGATTTTGAGCCTGGAAACAACCGTATGTAGAATTGTACCAGGCCAGGTGTTCAACGTTACTCTGTAAGTTGGTCTTGCTTTTGAATTCTGGATACTCCCAGCTCTTGAAGACAGCCCAATCGTCGCACCTATTTCTTTCTCTCTGGTTATTCTGCTTCAGTTTAACCACCGGTGTTTCTAACAGAATATTTTTCAATATCCTTGATTTGTGAGGATGATGTGAGAAAAATTCCAAGATGATTTCCTTTTTTGTGCAAAGTGATAGTTACAGGGTGCAATGCTAAACCCTAATTCTGATGATCATGCTTCAAGAAGCACTAGCTGCTGAAGGTAACCTAACAGGGATTTCCCTCTCAGAAGGAAGCCCGGATCACCCTTGCTCTAGTGGGAGCCTGTGCACCTGTGGAAGGTCCTTCCAGGAGGAAGTTGTGTGGGCAGCTGGCCTATAAGTCCTCTCTCTAGAGTCAAAAGTCACTAACAGAAGATGCAGAGTAAGTGGAGAAGAAACCATTCTGAGTTCTGGGCGCTCATAATCCCCAGAGATCGGCTGCTTCCAAGTGATTCTGCCTCAGTGCCAGCCCATTCACTGTTCAGTGACCTCGCTACAGAGAATTTGCTGCTTCAGAAAAAAAGTAACTATGCACAAGTCCTAACGTTGAAAGTCACCTGGAAGGCTTTCCACAGAAGCTTTATGATGCAGACAAATGCTACCTCTCCTCTTCCATTCATCCTTGAGAGCTCCATAGTTCCTGTGGGAAACAAGGGCCCTTTACCTCCAAATCCCAAGTTGTGGCCCTTCTCAGTCAACTTTCCTTCGGGTCTGGCATTCGGTCTACTTATGCAACAGTTCTGTCTCTGAACGTCCTTTCTACTGTGATGGAGCAGGCCCACAAATACTCAGGGAGTCCACATTCTCTTGGGATTCTGATTCTCAAAGCATAGCCTCTCTCAGAGAAGTCTAAGGGGCCCAGAAGCTCAGGCACTGGCCAGTGAGGGAGGCCCACCCAGGGTGCAGAAGCCCACTCCAGTCTCCTGGCTCCCCCCCACCTTCCCTCTCAGGAACTCCATTAAGAACTGAAGCCGTTCCCTCACCCCAAGACTGCAGTCTCCCAGGGAGCTTTGCAGCAGACTAGGCTATGGCAGGCAGCGGTTCCTGGGTACCGGGAATACTGATGAGAGCAGCCACTCACTCTGCTTGGGCCTCCCAGTTTCACACCTGGCAAGACAGGACAAAAGGTCAGGAGTTTGCGTGGCTTTGTCAGGCGGGCTGACTGTGGCTTCCCTTGGCTCAGTCTGCAGCCCATTAATTATCCTCTTTCCTATCTCAGGATCTGCTCTTGACATCCAGGCCTTTCCAATGGCACCAAGAAGATAAGGGCAGTAAATCATGTTCTTCAACTTCTTTTGCACTCACTTTTCCTTATAGGCTCACTTTGAATAAAATGGCCTTCAGTGCTTGTTGAATCAATCTTCCCTTTCCCGGTGCCCTCCCCGAATTCAAGATTCCACCTGCTCGGGAAAGTCTTCAATGATCTGGTTTGAACTGTGTTTGGGCTTCCTTGTCAGACAGCTAGAACTACAATTTAGTTGTCCCTTTAACTCACGAGCAATTTTCTCTAAAGATCACCCATGAGGGAATCTGCTTTTGAAAACCCACTTGTGGGAAGCAGCCAGGCCAGATTTGGAGGGGCCACGGAAGCCAGAATGGCTGTGGCTCCCAGGAAATGGGTGGGTGATTCTGCTCCTAGGATGGAGGTCGGCACTGTCTTCCAGCTGTGACTCCTTCTGTATTTGTTTCTCCAACTTGGGTGCACCCTGGATAGGGAACCAATCACAAGTTGGAGGATCCATGATAACAGGGGTCTGGCTAAAGCTCAGCAGTCTGAAAGGAAGACTGGCCTGAGAAAAGCAGAGATTCCAAAACCAGGCAGGTAACTATTGGGATGGACAGAGAGACTGGACCAGCAGTAGATTCTGCTCACAAAGGCAGACAGGAGACTGACAACACTAGAGAAATGGGCACTGACTGCTGAACAGACAGGCATCAAGAGCCCTGAGACTGACAGGATTGACAAGGCCAAGCCAAGCAGGTGGCATGAGAGTGAGGGCCCCAAGGTGGCCAGGAACTCTCAAGATGCCTCCAGAGATGGCAGAAATTTGGGCAAGTTTCTTGATGGAAAGCATCAAGGCTGGAATGGGGCCACGTAAGGAGAAGGTGGACATCACCCTGGATTTCCAGTCATCTTCACGCGAGGCAGCCTCGAGTAACACAAAGACAGTGGCGTTACGGTTGGACAGCCAGGAGCAGTGGCAGGCTGCTCGGAGATACTGCACTCTCTGTAGTCCTCCCTCTGTACCAGCCTCGAATCTCGGTGAGGCCAAGGCAAAATGTGGGTGGCTGGACCTGTTCTCTTCTGCTTTTCCTTTAGAGTAAGCAGACACAGCACAATTAGACCAGCCTGATGCTAAACTGCCTCCTTAACAAAAAACAAAGAAAGAAAAAAAGGGAAAGTCAACTAAAATCTGTAACAAAGAAGACAGAGTCCTCAGGCGGCTAGGATATCCCTCTCAGACTTCCCCCATCTGTTCCACTCTCTGGGGCCTCCCAGCTGAGCCGTGCTGTCAGGGGAGGGCCCCTGTCACCCTCACAATCTGTCATCTGTGACACCACTTGGATCTTGTTTCCTCCGGAGCTGCCAGGGGCCAGGAGGATACCACGCCTGTGTGTGGGCAGTGGGCCAAGAGACCCGTGCCTGCCGTGGGTACCTGGGCTGGGAGGGAGGGTAGAAGGGGTGGGGAACAGGAGACTGGGTGGTGGGCCATCCCAGCTGCATCCATTTCTCCATGCATCCCTCCTCCCTGGCTGCCAAGCCCTCCCATTTCCTGCCATCTGTGATGGGTGTCTCTGGGGAGACCCTCTCCTTCCTGGCCTGCTCATCACAGTGTCGGGACGCTGGAAACAGGCTGCTCTCCGAGCTCCTTTAGCCGAGGGATGGGCTCTGCCTGTACTCCACACTGCACCCTCCTCACAGGCAGGTGTCCATCTCTGCCTGCAGACCTGGGCTCTCAGCAAACAAGATGGGGACAGTGATGGAAAACAGGAGATGGTGACCACTGGCTGCTGCTCAGATGGGCTCCTTCGGGCCTGCCCCACAGAGTGAGCCGAGTTGAAGAACACGGGCCTAGAGGCCGCACACGGACTCAGGGCTGAGTCCTGGCTCTCTCATTCATATGCAGAGTAGGCAGCTGGGCCAGAGGATTTCCTAAACACGTAACACCCAGTGAGTCCAGGATGATGTTGAGACCCGCCACTTGCATTGTCTGAGCTCCTTCTCTACTTTAAAACCCTGCTGTGAGCTGGCAGTAGTCACTGGGGTGGGGGGCGTGTTGCTGCAATGGCACTTAGATGGTCCCTTGGGTATGATTCTAAGACCCTGGTCTCAGTATCAGATCCTGACCAGCTGAGGGAGCGAGGCAGCAGCTGGGAGGCGAGGAGACTGGTTATTTCCAATTTAATTTAAACCCTTTGTTCCCCAGATCTCCTGGGCAAGGACAAAAGCAAACACCAGGTAGTCTCCCTAGCCATTCACCCACTGGCACATTCACTTGTTTAACCTGTATGAGGTAGTACAACATCATAAGGAGTCAGTGGAATTAGTTTGATCTGGTTTCTAAATCCGGCTCTGTCACTAATTAGCTAGGTTAGGCTGGGCATGCGACCCAACCTCTTCTGGCCTCAGCTGCATTATCTCTAATATGAGGAAATAATGGTGGTACCTACTTCATGGGCTATAGACAGGGGCCATGTGGCACCAATTAAGTGCTCAACAGATAGTTTTATTATTATTAACATTAAGTTGCTTATGATTCCATGGGGCAACATCAGCAGACAATGCCCACCCATCACCCAGAGGGTACAGGTGGCTACCAGAAGACAAGCTCCTTATATATGAAGGCCAAGAAAATCTCTTCAGGAGGAACTGGGGTTTTGTTTGTGGCACAAATATTTTACCCTCACCAAAAAAAAAGTGACAATGACTCATGGAAATTCAGAACAGATTTTCAGGTAACAGTGATACCTCAGTTGGTGAACTTAATTCGTTCCAAGTTTATGGTCAAATATTGAAGAGTTCAAGAACTGAGCGCATTTTTCCCGTAAGAAATAATGGAAAACCAAATACTGAGTTCTGAGACACCCCCCAAAATTACACTTATAAGCTCATTTTTCCAAGACATTTAACCAAGTTTACAATGATTTCTTTAAGTCTACCACGGTTCACACAGTTTTCCTTTTAGCTTTACCGCTGGAATCACTAACTTTCTTTAGAGCCATCATTATATTTCATGCAAATAAAGCGCAAAAAATGAAGCAGCACAACGATGACTGATCTAATGCACTCACAGAGGCACTGAGTGTTGTCTGGGCGACAGCAGCACTGAGACTGGAGCTTCACTCTGCTGTGTCCGCGGTGAGATGCCACACGTATGTGACTCATGGGCTTTCTCCAGTCAGATTTTCAGTACCACTATGAGCAAAGTTATGAACACTGAGGAGAGTTTTTTTTTCACTGTTCTGGTAGTTCGAGCTTAGAGCCATTTGACAACTATCACCACAGTTGAGACATCTAAAAAAAAAACCCGTTCCTGAAGGGACTACCCCACCTCAGGTGTGGAGACTGCTGTTTTGGAACGATGGCTCAAAGATATGCCTCTCAGGACAAGAAAGGTCCTGCGTGTCCAAGACCCTGCCAGCCTCTCCCTCCCCACACATCCCAGTGCCTGACCTCTTCCTCCCCACAAAAGCAGGGCAAAGCAACCTCTAATTTGCCTGTTGCTGGCAGCTCTCAGCCTGTCCTTGCCACCACCCATACTGGCAGCGCTGGCCTGTCTGCCGCTTCAGGATGCTGCGGAGACTGCTGACTGAGGAAGTCGATTTACTGCTTCCCATTAGCCGGGCCTCTGACAGATTCCGAGGGCCTCAGCTTGACATGGGCACATGAGCCAGCTGGGAAAGGTCAGGTCCCAGGAGCACGGCCAGCAGAGGCTTCCAAGACGGGCCTGACACAGTGGCCCTGCTGATGGGCCATCAGATGGCACATGGCCTTATTTATTTTGTCTTAATTTGACAGTCTGAAAATTTCCTTTTGGTTTAAACACATTCAGATGGTCCTGTCTTCCCTCTGTTGTCTTCAAAGGCCATAAACGATGTCCCTAAAGGTGCCTACCTGCTGGCTGATCCAGAGGGCTCATGAACAGAGCTCTGCACTCCCAACACCCATCCCTGCTTGGCTGACCATGAGCTTGGCACAGGAGGGCACTGGAGCAGGAAGTAGGAGGCCCAGGCACCAGCCCGATTCTACCCATGTTTGCCAGCATGACCTTGAGCATGTTACTTGATCTCTTTGGGCCTTGGCTTGCTTATCTAAAATGGAGAACAACTGTTGTCCTAAACGTGTTTCATGGTAATCGTGGGGTTAATTATATGAGGTCCTCTTACAAAGAGATAAAATTGTGAAAGGGACTTAGAAAGCATCAGATACTTTAAAAATAGTTTTGGACACGAATGATTTCAGGTGTTGCTCTCATCTGTCCCCTTGATCAAAAACCTCCACAACTTGCCTAAACACGAATACTGTGGCTTACAAGCTCTAGTATGGCCTTGTCCCAAGTCCTTGCCTTGGGTACAATGCAGCTCCTTCAAAGTCCCGACTGATATTGTCACCGAGGGAGGATGTGGCTAAATTGCAGGCCTCATGCCCAGGGATTAGGAGCAGCCAGGGTCCTGTGTGCTGCCTCTAGGAAAGCTGGACAGGTGAGTTCTGGGTGGGAGGGGTCTCTCCCTCACTTTCCCCCTCCTACGAGGGGAGAACAGCCCTGGTTCCACAGATGCAAAGGAAGCCTTTCTCTTCCCCTTCAGCTCCCAGCAAAGCTTTGTTGGGGGGTGGGGGAAGTGCCACAGACCCTCTCCAGTGTCTGCAAGCTTCTCTGCCCAAGGAAGCTGAAGGGCCAAGCTATAAACTCCCTGTTCCTTGGAGCTGACCAGAGTCACCCACTAGTAACAAGCTCTGTGATAATAAGAACAACTTCATGTTACAGGTAATCTTGTAGGAAACAGAACAGATCTTATTATTGCCCTTTATGTAGAAGCAAACTAGACACTGAGTTGTTATGAGACCTGCCAAAGGTCACAGAGCTGGCACAGAAACCCAGGTCTTCTGACTAAAGAGCCAGAGGCAAGATTTCACTTACATGGTGAACAGCTCCAACTGGTGCATCCCAGAACACAAGGAGGGAACAGGGTCCATGCAGTTAACACGGTGGTCTGAGGGCCTGGATGAAAGGAGAGTACAAGAATTCTAGGGAGCCAGGAATATAGCCAAAGAGTTGATGGTAAAGCCAGGGGTGTCTTCTACTACCAGAAGGAAATCCTAGCTCTCCTGTCCTCTTAGTCATCCACCCAAAGAGCTGGAGAGAAAAACAGCTCCAAAGGCAGCACCTGAGTGGGTGACTGTCCACTGGGACCCATGGCTGCCTTTCAGGACCGAGGCATGGCCACAGTGGGGCTCCCAGAGGAGCAGGAACAGGGTTACAGCCTGCAGCCCAGCCAGCTGGAGCCAGCACCCTGATCCCAGGGAATAAGCTCGGCACAGACGAGCTTCATTCCTAGTGCCCTTTGCTCCCACTCTTCCACAAAGCTGCAGCTCATAACTGCTAATCACTAATGCCCCTCTCGGAAATTTGCACAGGTTCAGATTCATGATCTCAGCTTAATTTCAAACAGTGAGGAAATACACAAATTAGAGAAAAACAGTACAGCTAAGTTCATTACCTTTACTTTGTGAGCAAGTTCACAGAGCCTCCTTCCTGGGAGGCAGGAGTGTCCATTAGGAACAGACTCCTGGCTCCGCTGCCAGGCATGGAGCCTGCTGAACCTCATGGTTACATCTCCACGAGGCTATATTTGCAGGGCACCTGGCAGATGGGAGGAGCACAGAACTTTAATGTACGCTCATGTGTTCTCCTTCCCAAGCAGCACCTCCTAGCTTCCCTGGGCAACCTGGATGGGGACAACTCCCACATCACGTGCACAGTCGTCCCCTTCTACTGAAATCCATGGCCACTCCAGAGCTATCCCAAACACCACCCGAATCTGCAGTGATGAGAGCGAGAGACTCCTCACACGGGCAACCATCCCACACTGTGGACATCTGTGCTGCAGGTATACAGGCTCCAACCCTCCCAGGGGCCCTTGGCACTGTGCCCCTGGGCTCTGCCCTAGGTGAGCGTTCACCTGAAGGCTCTGCCATTGCTAATTTTCTGTTATCTCAAGAAGTCCATCATAACCTACTTCTAAGCTACAGCCACTTCCTGTTCAGTATCAACACAAGAGAAATCCTGGTGCCATTAACCGTGACAGCTTTTCTCCTCAGTGCACCAGAGTGGACAAGGGGAGGGCACTGGCAAGAAGGAAGCCACAGAGTCACCTATGTAGGGCCTCTGTCAACTATGAACTTCTCCAGAAGAAGCTTTGAGTTAAAGAGCCGAGGACAATGGTTACAACAGTGATAACTATAAGTTAAGCGACGAAGAAAACCCAAATCTGAGGGGCTCCTACATCCAAAAATTTTCAAGCTCTACCAACATGAT